TTATTAAATTTATTATCTAATTAATTTATAAAATTTACTACTTAATTAATTTATAAAATTTATTATCTAATTAATTTATAAAATTTACTACTTAATCAATTTATAAAATTTACTACTTAATCAATTTATAAAATTTTGACTTAATTAATTTACAAAATTTATTACTTATTTTATCTGAAGATTATTCATTAACTAATATCACAGGTTCAGCACTAAATCATAAGGTATACAACGCAAAAACTGGGTTTCGATACTAATGGTGGGCACAGCACAGATAGCCCATTGTGTAACTTTGTTCTTAACAAAAAAAAAAACAAAACATTACTTAACCTATTTTATTATTAGTAAATATAGGAGCTTTATGCTTAACTCCAAAACAAACCAACAAACAAAGTACCCTGAGCAGGCATCCACTTACCAGTATGGTCATACTTCTATTATTTACCACATCAACAGTGTTTCTAGATGGTTGGTCCAAGCCCTTACTCAGCGTCAAAATGTTTGTATAACTCATTTTAGAGAGGGGGTTTAAAACACCTATGTGATACACTGGAGTACAGGGTGTCCGAAAAGTCTAGAACCGTAGGTGTTTTGCAGCTTTTCCTAATTTCAGGGCTTGATTGGATGACACCTTCCTAAGAAATTGAATTGGCAGACGTGATCCCCAGGAATGGGCCCCAAATCTCCGGACTTGACTGCAATAGATTTCTTTTTCTGGGGATTGCTCAAGGCACGTGTGTACAAGGAGGATATAGGGACCCGAACGTTTGCAACAACGAATTTGCGATAAGAGTCGGACCATTGACAACGACACAAATAACTATCCCATTTATCGTCAGTTTGAATGCTCACAAGTATATAACCAGTAAAAATAAAGTAAACTATTCAACTGATCCTTTCTGGACCCTCTTAAAATAGTGGATCTTTTCCTTCAAATCGCAATACCAATTTCGCCCATTTTCTATATTTAAAATAGCTCAATGTAGAGCTCATCAGGCTGACTGGGACAAAATAAACACAGTAGAGGACACGTGGAAAATATTGTGGTTAGAATACTATTATTATACACTCTTTTAATACTCAAAACTCCCTAAGATGAAGAATGCAGTGTTAAAATATAACAGGCATAATACTAATATCTGGCGACAAGTATATTTAATAACAATAATGCTTCGCCAGTTTCGAAAAGGCATTCACTCCATAAAAAAATGTTGCTGTAACAAATAGCTCACTTAAATAGCGTTTTGACAATTATTATGTTTGTTGTTTCCTTGATGAGCAGTGGATTCAGCAAAACGCGTCGTCGGCAATGATTATGGTGAACATAGTGTGGAATTGGTTAGAATACTACTATTATATAATGTTCTGGCCCGGCATGGCCAGGTGGTTAGGGCGCTTGACTCGCAATCTGCGGGTTTCGGGTTCGAATTGCCGTCACACCAAACATGCTCGCCCTTTCAACCGTGGGGGCGTTATAATTTGCGGTCAATCCCATTATTCGTTGGTAAAAGACGGCTAGCGTAGATAGTCCTCGTGTAGCTTTGCGCGAAATTCAAAACAAATAACATACACTGTTCTAATACTTGAAAATCCATAAGGGACTAGGAAAAAGAATGCAATTTTAAACAGTATAATAGGCCTAACACTAAATTAATTAGTTATTTTACTACTTCTTTTTAAGTTCTTTGGAAGAGGGAGATTTAAAGAAATTTCTGAATACATTAATTTATTTGTTCTTATTATTTCAAGATATAAAATGAAAGCCGTTTTGTAACGAATAAATCATACGTTTATATGTACGGTTTTTCAATACTATTTACTAGTTTATCTTAAATATTAAAATAATTTAACTAGAAGTAACAAAACTACATATTAATTCGAGAGAAAACTGGAATTTTAAGATCTAATATTTTCAAACCGCCTCAAGCTGTGCTCTACCGGTCGCAATGTAATCTAGATTGGTTTTATTGTATACAATATGTCTAGTCAGAAAATTAGGACCAGGCTTGGGTGTGGAGGTGAAGGCGTGCCTGCATTGTTGCCACAGAAAACTGAACTGAATGTTGCCAGGAGACAATAACTATTTCATATGTATATAAAAGAAGCTGAAAAGAAATAAAAAGGGCAGGGTTATTTGACCTTTACCACCATTGACCAGTAAAGACCTCAGCCACCGCCCCAAGCTACGTAGGCTGGTCTTTTTTTAAGCCTTTCACATCCTGGATAACAACACAGCATTGTTCAAATAATTGAACTGGACTAACAAGTGCCCTACAATACGAGGTTAATTTATATTTTTTAAAACTCAATTTTTGCTGAAGGGTTGAATTACAAAGTAAAAATAAAACATTGTCCAGTGAAAGTTAAAGATAAACAAGCCACAGTCAACACCATATAAAAGCAATCTGACTGTTCACGAGATAACTATCTGATTATTACTTAGTTGATCCTTCACTTGCTACCTGATTTTCAGCAGATTTGTCGGAGAAGACTCACGATGTTTGACAAAGTAAGTATATTAGCTTAAAACGCAATGTCTTCCTTTTCATGGCCCGACATGGCCAGGTGGTTAGGGCGCTCAACTCGCAATCTTAGGGTCGCAGGTTCGAATCCCCTTCACACCAAACATGCTCGCCCTTACAGCCGTGGGGGCGTTATAATGTGACGGTCAATTCCACTATTCATTGATAAAAGAGTAGCTCATGGGGTTGACGGTGGGTGGTGATGACTAGCTGCCTTCCCTCAGGTCTTTCACTGCTAAATTAGGGACGACTAACGCAGATAGCCCTCGTGTAGCTTTGCGCGAAATTCAAAAACAAATAAACAGACAAACCTCCTTTAGAGCCACATAATTTGGACAACTGTAAATACAACTAAATACCCGTTTCGTTATCCTCTGGATCTCCCTAAATATCATACATTTGACTTAAAAACAACAACAAAAAATACTGTTTCTTCTATTTGCTATGTATCGATATCTTAACAAAGGAATATGCCGATTTGCTAAATGGTGCTTTTGTAAATCTTTATAAAAGTTTCTTTGGTATCAAATGATATAAAACAGTGTTAAAATCAGTTTTCTTCGGTTATATCTTTACATAACACTTTGTTTCAGTGGCAGAGTAGACACTGAGGGTTTGAGAACTTTAACGGACTGCAACTGCCTGTTGAAAGATAAGGAGGCTTATATACTGAGGCCTTCTTCAGGTCTTAGTAAGGAAGGCAAAACGTCATCACATTCTCTTTCAATAGGTAGTTACAGTCCGCTAAAGTTCTCAAACTTAATTGTGAGTTTGTTTGTTTGTTGGATTTTGCGCAAGACTACTGGAGAACTATCTGCGCTAACTGTCCCTAATTTTGAAGTGAAGGTAAGGCAGCTAGTCAACACCACCCACCGTCAACTCTTGGGATACTCTTTTCCAACGAAAAATGGAATCGAGCATTATAACGCCTTCTCGGATGAAAGGGCGAGAATGTTCGGTAACGGGTTTCGAGCCCGTTACCCTCAGATTGTGAGTTGAGCCCCCGAACCACCAGGTCTTTACTTGTAAGCTGTAGGTGAATTTGAAAATAACTTGAAACAGTTTTAATTATTAAAAATTATTATGTAAAATATCGAAACACGTAAAATAATTTCTTGTTTAATATAATTAGTAAGCAGTAAATTAATTAATAATATTTTATTATTATTTTTTATTGATTGATTAGTTGCATTTCCAAATGTTAAATGTTACGAAAATTTATCAGTTCTCGAGAAATGTACTATGTGACGTCATGTCTGTTGTACTCTAGCGTTTACAGAAATTACATTTTATTTAGAAGAAGAGACTTTGTGAACAAACTTAGGTTGTAACAAGATTTATCTTTATTACTATTGAAATTAAAATTTAACATTTTATTTGCATATTCTGTTTATTCTGTTCAGGACAATGACCATTTTTATTTCATGCGAACTAATGCAAAATAAATCATTTAATCATTTCAGCGTGGCGAAGTGAATGCCAAATCGAGATTTTTCAAAATAATTATGCAACATATATATATATATATATATATATGCATATATGGAAAATAAGATTTTAATATGAGGTCTATGTAAGATTTTAGATTTAGTCAGATATTTTGGTGACGTTTTCTATAATGGTGCAGGCTGTCATCTTTGTTGTTGTCCTGGTAACGGTTTCTGCTGGTGTTCCGTTTCCTTCTGATGATCCTGCTGCGCCACCTTACGACCATCCTCTGCCTGTTTATGCTCCTGAACCACCTGTAAGTGATATTACATCGATCTAATATTTCAACTACTAATTTTTAAAGTTGGTATATATATATATATATATATATACATGTATATAATATGTATGTGTGTACGTGCATGTGTGTCTTTGTGCGTGTTCAAATAGAATGGGCAAAGTTTTAAAATGATTACAGCTAAAGTTGTGTTAAAAATGAAAAACAACAACAAAAAAAAAGAAGAAGCGCGTATTTTGAATTAATCAAACACAGTAACAATTTACAATAAACTTAGATATATTTTCTTCAGCATGAGCTGGAAGTTCCTGAACCTTACAATTTTGGTTACGAGACTACTGACGAGTTCGGTAACCTTCAGTCTCGTCATGAAGAAGCTGACGGTACTGGTGTTGTAAGGGGATCCTACGGATACACCGATGTCTATGGAATTTACCGCCAGGTTGAATATGTGGCCGACGCTGATGGTTATCGCGCTGTGGTGAAAACTAACGAACCTGGTACCGCAAATGCTAATCCCGCTAACGTAGAAGTTTTTGCTGAAGAAGCTCTAATTCCTAATCCAGAAGCTCCGGCTGCAGTTCCCCAACCCATATCTCCAGCTCCAGTTCCAGTTTCTTATCCTGTAGTTCCAGCTCCAATCCCCAGTTATCAACACCCTGTGTCTCTGCTTCACCAGGCATATAGCTACAAACCTGTTCTCTATTCTCATCCTGCCCCTTATGCTCCCGAGGTCAAGGTTCCAGCCCCCAGGTATGTTCCATCTTACCCTGCAACTATTACCACTGATGCATCTAAAGAAGAAAAACAGTCTGAATAAGACCGGTAACAGAAAATATTGGCTGTCAAAAAAAAAGTTATAATTATGTTTTTTGTTGTTGTTTTTTTGTTGTTGTTAAATTCAGCCCTTTAAATTTTTTTTAAATATTTTATTTTTTGAGAAAATAATATAGTATTACACGCGTATGACCAGAAGGTTATCATTCAATAATGTCAAATCGATTGTAAGGTGTTGTGATGAATAATTGGAATTGTTAATCTAATGAATTTTGAAGAGTTTCTTTGGTTAGCAACTTGACACCATGAGAAACAAAGCATACGTTTTAATAAAACTGCAAATGTTAATAAAACCGCAAAGATATGCAAGTTGAGTTTGTCTTTGTGTATATCTTTCCTTAGCAATCTAACTAAACCTTTCACTGTTATACGTCAATGGCTTACTAACCTTGGGATCATATATTATATACGACCTAGTTATACGAATATTGCATACTTACACGAATTCTAATCTCCTACTTAAAACAACTGATTTATCTTTGAAAAGATGACCTATTTCATAAATGCAGATAAGTTGAGTAAGTGCTTTTGTAACATTCTATTTCTGAGTGTAAGAATATGTAAAGTTTATTTATATTGCCACTTATTAAAAGAAAAAAAAACTGTTGAAATAAAATGTATACCCCCCAGCGGTATGTCTGCGAACTTATACCGTTAGAAACCGGGTTTCGATAGCATTGATGGGCAGAGCACAGATAGCCCTTTGTGTTGCTTTGTGTTTAACTAGAAAACAAAGAAAGAAAGTAAAATTAAAATTCTTCAAAAATTGAATACATTAAAAGAACCCAAACAGTCGTTACAACGCAGGAAAATTTTAAGCTAAGTTACGTAAATGTATTAATAAGGTTAATTAATTATCCAACTAAAAATGATTGAATAACTTGCAAAGTTATTGCTTAATTAGCTTGAAAATTATTATCCATTTATAAAATTTATTATTTAATTAATTTATAAAATTTATTACTTAATCAATTTACAAAACTTATTACTTAATCAATTTATAGAATTTATTACTTAATCAAAATAAGGTTAATTAATTATCAAACTAAAAAATATTGAATAACTTGCAAAGTTATTATTTAATTAACTTGAAAACTTTTATAAATTTACAAAATTTATTACTTAATCAGTTTATAAAATTTATTATTTAATTAATTTATAAAATTTATTATTTAATTAATTTATAAAATTTATTATCTAATTAATTTATAAAATTTATTACTTAATTAATTTAAAAAAATTTACTTAATTAATTTACAAAACTTATTATTTATTTTATCTGAAGATTATTCATTAATTAATCTCACAGGCTCAGCGCTAGGTCATAAGGTATACAACGCAAAAAGCCCCCCAGTGGCACAGCGGTATGTCTCCGGACTTACAACGCTAGAAACCGGGTTTTGATACCCGTGATGAACAGAGCACAGATAGCCCATTATGTAGCTTTGTGCTTAACTTCAAAACAGATAAAGAACGCAAAAACTGGGTTTCGATACCCGTGGTGGGCACAGCACAGATAGCCCATTGTGTAATTTTGTTCTTAACAACAACAAAAAAAACATTACTTAACCTATTTTATTATTAGTAAATATAGAAGATATTAAAATTGATATATACTCTCACATAAACTGAAATAGGTGCGGGTTAGCCTTGTGGTAAAGCTCTGGATTTCGATACCACAAACTATTCCTAGTGCTTTAAACAGTGGGGGTGTCATAAGAGCAGCAATAATTCTTCTAGCATAGATTGTGGGTGTTATGGGTGCTGGTGACTGGTGCTACCTTGTCTCTAGATGGTTAGATCAAAATTAATAATAGCGGCAATCAGCTTTGCCATAAATACGAAATACAAATACTCTTCAAAGAGTCTTCATCGTGAAATATTTTATCTCCAGGTTACAGAATAATGTTTTAAGCACAATAGCGTTGGGTACCACAACAATACAATCAAATTAATACAACCTTACAAATAATGAAAACTAAAAGTATTTATAATTAGCAAATGTGGTCGCCATATTTGGTATTTTATTGGACTATTGTACTATATTGTGTCTCTCTGACGTAACGAATTATTATAAAATGACCGATATGATGAATTTTTGAAAGTATAAGTAGAGTTCCTTCCTCACGGCGTAAGCTATTTTCTAGTAAATTTTCTAAGTTTTCATACTAGTGTTCTGCACATAATGTTTGTAATCTTGGTTTATAAAGGTTGTTAAACTGTATTAATCTTACAACTTAGACAAAAGTTTATGTTTGTTTGCTCCTGTTCCTGTGTCATGCCGTTCTGGAGTGGAGTCATACTTATTTCAATGAGTGGTATAAATATTTGTACAAGTTAGTATGGGCTGTTGGTTTATCGTTGTTGTATGTACTCTAGAATAGTGATATCGGTCTAGGACTTTTGACTGACACTGTAATATCGTCAATTTTCTGGTTCCTGTCTTTGTTTTGTGTAAGCGGGCTTTTTTTTTTCCATGCTCCAGTAGCCAGAAAGTGTTCAATAGTGAACATAGAAACCCCCCAATATACACCGTGTGATATAAGTAAGAATAAAAATTGTTAGTTATGTATGTTTTTTTTTTCATTACCCGTATTAATTTCATTATTTGCATATCATTTTCCAAACCTAACGTTTTGCGGATATTTTATTATTTCCATAATTTAGTAGAAATCCATTTTAAAGCTTTCATTACACAAATGGGACCAATTACTTGCACACTACTGGGAGCAATGTAAGCTTAATGGTACATATAGAAAATATTTAAACATTTCCTTGGTCTTCTATTTTTTTAGTGGTTATTAAAGAATAATCAAAGCATTTTAGCTTTGGAACCATACAAAATTGGGGATTTGAATCCCTGTTTAAAATCAATGTTATGCTATTCCATTTAAAATAACACATTTGTAATTAAACAGATCACGCATCAACAGTACCAACAGAGTTCACGGGTGTGGTAGGTCTAATTAGTACAAGTTGACTCCAGTACAACAAAACCATATCGCAGCGAAACTGGGTTAGCGTGCCAGCGATGGAAGACAAAATTAAATATAAAAATATTTATATCAATTGGCTATACGTTCAAGTAAATAAGTTTTTTTTATGTGTTTTTAAGCGAGTATGTGCTTGTGATAAAACAAAACAACTAATGATAAACTCTCAATAGAGAGGTGAACAAGCACTATTTATGATAGTGTTACGTCTCCGTTCGTTTGTTAATTTTCCGTAGAAATTCTTTCCGAGAATCTTCAGCGATACAAGTCCTTTCTTAAATAAAACTAATTTATTCTTTCTCGTTACAAACTTTGTAATACACTTAATTTCCACAGTCACTTTAACTTAAACACACGCTATATTTCACAACGATTCACGCGCTTTACTTACGATGCCTACCGCCCGCTTGACTCAACTATCCGTGTATGTATCTTCAATCTCTCTATCGGCAATTCCAATTCCTATTAATTGTCTCGCATTATCTGGTGCGCTTATATACAGGAATAGAGGGCGTCTAGCAAATACTGGATTATTCGTGATGTTCCCCGATCCTTCTAGAAACTCATCACGTGTTACCAGTTTCACTTGACTTCCGCTGTGTAACAATAGGTTTCTTACGAACCTAACATAACTTACGATTAACACTAAATATGTGTATATATGTATATACATATACGATTTTTAACGAATATATATGTGCATATTAAGATGTATAACCCAAGTTATATTTAATAATCATACGATTGAAGAACAAAAGTTGGAATAAAGATTCAACGTACCAATGAATAAATGAGATTTATGGTTGATTGTTTTAGAGCAAGCCATACTGGTCTATTTGCTGTGTAGAGAATCGAACCCCGGACTTAGCGTTGTAGGACATTAGATATCGGGGGACATGTGATGAGTATACTTGGACGACAAAGTTTACAGAAATAATGTAGTTCGAGTGGGTTATAGATATCACTGTGTATTATATATGTAGTTTATTTTAGATTTAAAACACGAATTATGAAGGGCTTAAGAAACTTTAGCATAGCACATAATTATGGTGTACCTTATAAATAGTTATATAAGACATATTTTATAAAGGACTTTCGAAATACAGTAACGTCACGTTTTTGAAATTTAGCTTAAAACTTGGGTTATAATAATTATAGTATTTTGGCACTTGTGTATAAAGTTAAAATCATAAAATAATTTTACTACGTAACGTAACGTACTAACGTAACTAACGTAACGTAACGTACGTACGTACGTACGTACGTAAGTAGTAACGTAACGTAAAGTTAAATTTAAGTT